TACGGTGCAGAACAATACCCAATGTTCTTGCAAATCTTGAGCAAGCTCGGGACAGACAGAACAGACCATCAGAGAGCCCTGTTACACCATCTAGACAGCTCTTGGCTCCAAATGTACATTTCTATGCTGGAGAGTGGGATGAACTCCCAACAATTCTCTCAGTTGTGCAGCCACCCGCGCCACCAACAAACCTCAGCTTCTCTGAGGATGATTTTATGGATGGCTGCAGTAGTCATGATGGAAGCAGTATAGTTGGTCATGACTACTGCCCCAGAAGATCTAGGAAGCTTTCTGGTAGCCGTGCATGGGAGAGGGCTAATGAGACCGACCAAGCAGATGGCGGCTACGATGTAATTTTGATTTCTGATGTCCCCTACGCAGTTAACTCTCTGAAGAAGCTCTATGCGCTTATTTCAAAGGTCAGTTCCTCAGAATCCGTTTTGCCATATCTGCATTTTTTTTTACATGTTTCTCTGAGTGTAGCTGAAATAGCAATAGAGCACAACATTTGAAGTTAATTAGGTTCTTCCATTGATCAGAACCATACCTAGAGTGTTTTTGCCCTTTAGACGCTGATATGAAGCATTGTCAGTAACGGTGTTTCTTTGTAACCTCTGAGATGTTGACTTTGGGTCTGTTGTCAAACTGTATCTAACTCTTGCAGTGCCTGCGTCCTCCTTATGGAGTCCTGTACGTGGCTTCCAAGAAGAACTTGGTTGGTTCCAATGGTGGCGCCAGGCAGCTTCGAGCTCTGATGGAAGAGGAAGGTGTCCTTGGTGGCCACTTCTTGACTGAGGTGTGTGACAGGGAGATATGGAAGTTCTTTTTCAAGTGAGCAAATCCAGGAAGTGGGCAGACAAGGAAATGAGTCCTGACGTTGAAACCCAGTTTTTTGGTTTCTATCTGCAGCGATGTACATACTGCGAGGCATATAGTTCCATTAATTCTTTGGCAGTAGGTTGAAACTTCAAGAAATATCTGTAGTTGAGCTTGCACAGGTGTTGGAATCCTTTACCATTTTGTAGATCTGATATGTGCTAATGTCGTTCTGTTAAGTACAGAAAGTAAATTGTAGTAACCTTTTATATATCGAATATATGGTGATGGCAATTCAGCCGGTGCATGGTATATGACAGAACTCACACGAACTTTTACGCGCCTATATGCATCTTTGTACGCTGGAGTGAATATTTGTGGCTCTGTTGAAAATACAGATTCGATTAAGTCGGTAGTATGGCAAGGGATTTTTCGAAAAAATAAATTGGACACTATTTTACTATCATGAAACTTATTCCAAACAATTTTCCGATCCAAAACCTAAGAAAACTTGTGCAAAATTCAGCAAAAATTGATGCGGTCTACCTCCAAGGCTCCAATATACAATGAAAACGACAAATCGCTAGAATTACAGACTCAACGTTTTCATTCCGTTGAGCTATTGAATTCTCTCTTTTAGAGAGTGCGCTTAACTCATCTGCTTATGTAGGATGTGTGATCATGCATCTCACTACTTAGGTCCGAAAAGTGAGACGTGTGGCATCTCCAACAATTTATTCTCGAATATGTAGGTATTAGGATAGCCCAATACCTTTATATATATATATATATATATATATATATATATATATATATATATATATATATATATATATATATATATATATATATATATATATATATATATATATATATATTAAGCGAGTTGCTGCAGCAATAGTCAATATCTCTCTCTCAAAACTTATATGAAAGGTGTGGACCACAAATGTGTAGAAAGAAAAATGGATGAAAAGTTATGGGGTGAGGCGGGTGCTATTGGGGGGAAAGTAACTCCTCTTTTTTTTAGAGATGGAGGGAACATTGGTGGTCGTAAAAAAGAAGATATATTGAAGGACTGTTGGAGTAAGAAAAAAACATGGTTAACCCAAAATGAAATATTTTTTAACGATAGAATGAGGTATCGGAGGACCACTTGTCAGTGGAGATGCTCTTGAGACGAAGGCAATACCAAGGATATATCAATACCATTTTGGTACCCGCAGATATATCTCGCATAGGTGGCTAGACTCATGTACTGGTCACAATATTGGTCAATATCGGCCGATACTAGTCGACACGGGCCATACCGGTATCGGCTGAGAATGAAGCAATACATCTTATTTAATGTACATTTTTATAAACTTGTTGAATTATATGATATCTTAAACATAAATCTATATTTTTTAAAATGATTATGACTAAAGTTCTATCAAAATATATAATTATATGATATCTTAAACATAATATATAATTATTCTTGTGTTTTGATAGAACTTTAAGGATAATTATTTAAAAAATATAATTATTTTGTAAACTTGTTTTTCAATCCTGTGTTGGTAGAACTTTAGTCATAAACATAAATAAATATGCCTATGTTCTGATAGAACTGTAGTCATAAACATAAATAAATATATAATTATTCATGTGTTTTTTAATCCTCTGTTCCTCCCTACACTTATTTCCTATTCATTTCCTATTTTGCCTTTCAAACAAGCCGTAAGTGAACAAATTTGAGCCATACACAGTAAAGACTTCCTAGCGCCTAGACGTCCAGAGCAGATAAGAGCGTCCGGACGCCCCATGCATGCTTGCTGCCCAGCCCACTTCGCCCGCGCCTGCTACATTGCTGCTTTATGATCACAAGCAGCACGCATGTCCGTCTCCCATCCACCTCACCTCACCCCGCCCCGCACGCACGCCCCGGTTGCGCCCACTACTCCTTCCCCCTGTCCTTCTTATCTCTCCGCGCGAGTGGGACCCAGGAGCCCGTACGAGGACGAGCATGTTCCGTCCGCAGGACCCAAGCGCGCCGTGTGCCCCATCTGCCCTCTCCGGCTCGCCACACCCTTTCCCCCAACGCCTGGGCCGTGTCCCATGGCTCTCTAAACATACCTCTAAAACACGAAACACTTGCAACATGAAATACTTGAATGCGATATAAGTCTGAAGCAGATGAAACATTTGGAATATACACATACAACATATGTGGCATGCAACATCCAGATAAAACACTTGCAACATGAAAATACTTGCTGGAACATAAGAATAAAACAGCTGAAACATTTGGAACATACTTTTACAACATATGTGTGAAACATATGCAACATCTAGATCAAAATGTTTGGAACATACATACGAAACAGACGAAATACTTTGAACAAATGCTTGCAACATGCCTCTGAAACACTTACAACATATGGAGCATCCCGATCTATTTTTGCAACATCTATATGAAACATCTACAACGTACCTCTGAATTATCTGAAACACTTGAAACATATGTTTGCAACATGCTCTTTCAGTGAAACATCTCCTTCCTGCTTGGGAATGGAGGCTCACTGGCGTGTGGAGATCACTAGTGTAGAGCTCGCCGATGGCGTGGAACTCGCTGCTCCGATGGAGAAGGTCGCGACAGGTTTCGTGGAGAAGTCAGCTGCGGGTCCGTGCGCTAGAGAAGCCTGCGCGGGTGAGAGGCACGATGGAGAGAGAGGAAGACGGGCTGCTGTGTTCTAGTGCGGAGGAGATGTCGGGCGCGGAGCGAAGGCACGATGGAGAGGAGGCGCAGTGGAGAGAGAAGCGCGATGAAGAATGCTGTCGTTGAGGCGACGCTACGGTGAGGTAAGTTTTTTCTTTTTTTAACGGTTAGATGAGCAGATAAGACGTGGTTGGTAGGTGGCCCACCGTCCGGCGGACGGACGGCCTGTGCCAAGTATTACCGTACACAGTAGCTACACCGATAGCCATATAGTACTGTACGGTTGTACTGTGGGCGGAAAAAGTCTACTTAACCCACCCACCTTTCATACTTGGTCTACTTTACCCCCAACTATGAAACCGTCTGTTTTACCCCCTGAACTTTCTAAAACCGTCTATTTTACCTCCTGGGTGGTTTTCAGCGGCGGTTTTGCTACAGTAACAGCGGGGTTGCTACAGTAACGGTTTTTAATTTTTTTTATTTCCGGTGACTGTTTGAAAAATCATAGTAAATCATAGAAAAATCATAAAATAAAAAATCTAATTTTGTTGGACTCCACATGAGTAGATCTACATAGTGAATATATAATACGGTATGCTTTAGTACAAAATTTTTACTGTAGCATTAGATTAATTGGAAAATCTAATTTTGTCTGTAATTAATTGGAATAATTCATAGCTGCAGCTTCTATGGTCCAATTGTGTTGAAATTTTTATGGTACGCTAATTATTGTATGCTTGAACTATAGTAAAAATTTCGTACTCATTGGACTATGTATAACTTAGTTATAGATAAATTCTAATTAATTACAGACAAAATTGGATTTTCTAATTAATCTAAAGCTACAAAAAAAAAATTATACTAAAGCATACCGTATTATATATTCACTGTGTAGATCTACTCATGTGGAGTCCAATAAAATTAGATTTTTCATTTTATGATTTACTATGTTTTTTCAAAAAATCATCGAAAATAAAAATTTCAAAACACAGTTACTGTAGCAACCCCGAATGTTACTGTAGCAACCGTCGCTGAAAACCACCCCGCCTGTAATATAGTTGGGAGTAAAGTAGACCGGTACAAAGGTAGTGGGTTAAGTAGACTTTTTGCTACTGTGGGCCTACGGCGCAGCCGCCGTTTCGTGGCCTGTTCATTTGACTTGTAAGCCGAACTTCTTCGATCAACCAAAGGTATTTTTCTCCGGTACTAAATCACTTCCGGCCGAGACAAGGCATCGCTTTCGATCCGACGCTATCAAAACTACCCAAAAAATCTCGCCGCCTCACACTGATCGCGGCCCGGGCCCACTCGGCAGTCGTTCTGGACTAGAGTCGAGGCGCCCCTGTGCCCATCCATCCCAAAGTCCCACGGCAAAAGCCGCGCTTCCGCCCGACGCCACGCCAGCTCAGATCTCCGCTCCCGTTTCTTCCAGCGGGCGAGGGCGACGGCCGCCACGCCGCCACGCCGCGAGCTCCAGCTGCTCTAATCGATGGGCCGCAGCTCTAGGAAGAAAAAGAAGCGCGGCGCGGCCGGCCGCAAGGCAGCCAAGGACCACGCCGCGCAGCTCGAAGGAGACGAGACCGCCCTTGACGAGGAGCTCACCGCCCTGTAAGTCACGCACCATCACCAAGTTTCTCCGGTTAATCGCTTCTCCTCTCGCTAAGTCGGTTTTGGGCGAATACCTGCTGTTGCGTGTCGTTCCTCATTGACCGCCGCGATGCGCGTAAGGAGTTAAGTCCATGTTGGCGTCTGGTTCGCTGCTTCGAAGTCTCCAACTGCGACTCATGTGTTCTCGCTGCTGATAGTTGTATTCCGGAGTGGTGTTTCACAATCTGTTGTGTGCCAGTACTTTTGTTTTCTGGGAGCAGTTTGATTTGCCTTACTGTTATTGATACATGATTCCTATCCGTTGCGGATGATTTTGGTGTGGTGTATCGACCACTGCTCTAGCCTTCTCACATTGTCTCATATTTCAGTTTCACTGGTCTTCGTTTCTTTTTTTTTTTTTTGAAACGGAAGTTTCATCGATCATCCGGCTGTGCTTATGTAGACTTTCGCCGTTTCGCCTAATGCAATCTGTTGCTTTCGAGACTCTATAGAATATAATATCATCTCGTTTGTTCAGTTGGTGAGAAAGTTCAGCCTGTAGGGTGGGTGGCCAAGCTCAGCCTCTTCCTTGTCAACCTTATATTCTGCTGATAGTTTTGACAATTGCTCCCCGTCTAATACTTATTGTTTTTATTTTTTCTTGTCATTGCTAGATTTTAACCATTTGTCTTTTGGGTGTAATTGGGTGGTGTTATTTTAATTTGATATTTGTCTATTGTCTGCATGTCCATCAATAGCAGAAAAAACAAGCTAACTTTGATTTATATTTGGAGTTGGGGTTGAATAACCGGTTTACTAATAGAAGCAATCAGAGCTTAGTTCCATGATCTAGTTTGTGCCCCTTTATTAACCCTTTTCTGTTTGTACATGATCTTAACTGCACCTTTTGGTTCTACATCAATTAGGGCTTCAATTTTAGGGGAGGACTTCAAAGTAACATCAGAATCACCTCATACACGATGTAATATGTGTATCAGGTATTTTCTAATGCGCATACACATAGATTTTTTCCATACTCATGTTCAACAAGTGAAGTGTTGTTACCATTGAATAATTTAAACAGGCCTTATTCGGCCGGCATGGGCTTTGATGATCTAAATATTTCAGCTATTCTTAGTGTAATGTAAGTGTCTTCCTCTAAGCCGTCGTGACTTTACCTATTCTTGTTTGTTGTTAATGGTGCTAGACATTCAACTCTTGATTTAAAATGTAGATGCTTTCCTGGTTACCCCCACAAGTGCCCAAAGTTGCGGATCGTACCTGAAAAAAACTTGTCTAAAGAAGATGCAGATCGGCTACTTTCGCTTCTTGCTGATCAGGTATATTAGACTTCACCTGACCATATTACATGATACGTTTTTTTTTCAAAGAGACCACAGGTACAACAACAACAACAAAGCCTTTAAGTCCCAAACAAGTTGGGGTAGGCTAGAGTTGAAACCCAAAAATCTCATTAAAATTAGTGGGATTCAGGTCTTTTTTTTTTCTTTAAAAAATGACAATTGGGAGTCGACATCCCCCATGCTTTGTCTTAAAGAAGGTGAGTACCGAAACTGATTCTCGACGTAGACTTTTAACTTAACTATCACTTAGTTCTTAAGTTAGTTTTCCTTTTTTGGTTTTCTGTTAATGTAATAATTTTCCTTGAACTCTATTTGTCTTGCAACTGCCATGCTGCAAAATTATAAGAACAGTTCGGGTTACATGCATGCATTCCACTGGGGAAGGGCAACTGCTGAAGTTGTATATGTTTGCTCTGTTTGTGTTTGAACTGTGAAATAATTGTGGCAACTGCTGAAGTTGTATATGTTTGCTCTGTTTGTGTTTGAACTGTGAAATAATTGTCCGAGTATCACTTTATTTAATAAAAGCGCAAGTATGTTTTCTAGTATATCTGTCAAGAGAATCAATAATATTGAAGTTTATTGTTTTACATTGTACTTCAAATTATGAGTAATTTATGCCTCCAAATTATACCTTTGTTTTTGTATTAGCGAGTTGTGATGATTCATTTTTGCCTCTTCACCTTTGACTCATGTATTGTTATCAGGCAAACATTTATTCCCGAGAGGGACGTGTTATGATTTTCAATTTGTTTGAGGCTGCGCAAGAGTTTCTGTCTGAGATTGCTCCAGCACATGTTTCAGTGAGCACTGTAAGTTTCCACATTGCCTCTGATAGACTGTATAACAATTTCTTTTACTTTGTTTTTATTGTAAAGCATAGTGAAATTAGGGATGCATCCTTTGCACTGAACCTTTTTCATTGATCTTTGGCTTAATGTATTCATGATATTATATTATTATTTCATCTGTTGCTCTTTGATCATATCTGAGATTTCATATTATCTGTTGTTGTAGGCTTCTTTCTTGGGTTTGAGCTCAACTACTGATGAAGATGTGGAAGTTAGCCTTGGCAGTGATCCTTACCCTGGAATCTCTTACGTATATAACTCCTTCGATCTATATAGTCAGTTATATGATGATACTTGTTGGAGTCGCCAAGGTCCAGATCTGACAACAGATAGTGGCAGGAAAAATATTGTATCTCAAGTTCAATCTAATGTTAGAAGCAAGAGGAAGACCATCATTGAAAAATCCCGTGTCTCAGCTGATAAGGTCAATAATGCTAAAGGCTCATCTGGTGATAAAGCTGAACAGCAACATGCCACAAAGCATGGTGCCATACGGGAGGCAGCTCCAACTTTACATGTTGTGGATGAGGAAACTGAAACTGAAAGCAAAACTTTGTCTGCTAGCAATACAGGAAATACATCAGATACTCCTGAAAGGGGTTTTAGCAGTCTAAATGAACCCGAGGTAATAAAACAGAACTATTGCAGATTCCTTTTGTTTTAGTGTATTTCATGAATCAACTATGACAACACATTTCTATAATTATACAAAGAAATGAAGAAAAGTTTACCTAGGGTCCCTCGAGGTTAGGCCATTATGAGTAATACTGCTATGAAAAAGGCGAAAATGTAATATTGGTATGTAACAATGTTAGATTGAAGGAAGACCATTTATATCGTGACTTGTATGTCAACTGTCAAGTCCTTTTGGTAATTGCCCTCTTGGGTTTGATTTTTTTACTTGTGATGGAGTTTTTCAATTTTACTTGCAATGTTCTTATGTTAACACACTTGACTGATTGCACTGGCATGCCCTTTTTGTCCAGTGTCAACCTTTGTTCCTAAGTAACTCAATTGTTTATCTGATGGTTTGATAGAGGTGAAACATGTGGAGTGGTCTCAAGTCTCAACATATGCATTATTCTAACTGTATAATATTCATCTGCTTGGTATATTGCCATGTCAATTAATTTGTTACCTATTTGTCTTCCGATATTACACTATGTGATTTGTACTATTGCTCCTGCTGTCCTGCTTTTCCTGTCAATTATTGATTTAAGTTGAAAATGTTGCGCTTCAACCTAATCTGACTGCATATTTATAAATACTAGTAGGACACTGACCTTGCAGAGGAACCTTGGAATGAAGAAGATTGTGATTCAGACTTTAGCTCTTCAAATGCACTATCTCATGTTTCAGACATGTTAGATGATGCTTCACGAAACAAGAAAAGGGATTTAATTCTGGTATCTTTTTTCTCTCACAACACCGTCTTTGAGTGATATTTTCTCCTTAAGTAGTGAACCTTGTTTGGAATCTTAATTAGGTACATCTGCTTCGGATAGCCTGTGCATCGAAGGATTCTCTTTCAGCTGCTTTGCCAACAATATCAGCAGAGCTGTGCAACATAGGGGTGCATATAGTCTTGTCTATATATTTGCCTTTTATTTTTCGTTGTTACCACTCCCAACTGAATGGTCATTTTTTCCCATTTTGGTGTTAACCAGGTTCTTTCTGAATGGGCTAAGGATTTAATTTCTGACTCTCCTGCTGTTTTTGGGGAAACTTTCAGTCATGTTTTTGGGCAACAAATGGTAAACCACACCTGTTTATATTCTACTAACTCATGATTTATTTCTACCAATACTATCTTGGTGTTGATCATCTCTAATTGTCACTTGGCTTTCTGATGGCATCAAATAGATCTCTTCAGAGTGCTCTCTATTTTGGAGACCTGATAATTCATCATCTAGGCCGAATTCCCGTTATTTGAATGATTTTGAGGAGCTCCGTTCACTTGGTGAGTATCATATTCCCATTGATAATGCTTCATTGTACTATTTCAGGATGTATCAGTTACAAAGTCAGAAGAATTTGTCTGTCTGTATTGCTGTGAATTAGTGCTTGCTATGTTTAAATACTTCCAAAGTTCGTAAAAATAGATGCTACTTTGGAATACATGCAGACAAGCTGTAAAAACTTTCCTAAAATAAATGGTATATTGGTCACGAAAAGAACTTCCATGTGCTCATAGTCTTCATTTTCTCAGACAATTATCAGAATAGAAATGGATAAAGTTCCATCCCTAAGTCTGCAAGAAGAAAAAAATTGTTTCTCTATTTGGGAACAGAGGGAGTTGTGTTTTACAGAAGGAATTATGCAAGGTTGTTTCAGATTGAGGCTGATGCGCTGGTTATTATATGCCTTTGTTAGCTCCTATCCTGATATACTAAGCCCCATTATATGTTTACTAGGTAACTGCCAACAGCAGATCTGAGGATAAACCCCTTGATCAATTGTTTTCAATCCTTAAATCTGAACCATTCTTTTTGTTACTATTGGCCTGAGGTACTTAGCCCACTCTATGTTAAATGATGTTATCCGCCTTGTGATTTATTTTAGGGTGGTTGGTGATGTGGTGTGCTAATGTGGGCAAATGTGTATTTACTGTGTGATGATTATTATGAATATGTTTCAACTTTCACATAGAATTCTGTGGTTGGTCATGGTAGAAATGAGCTGGGCCTCAGGTTGAACCTGTTATTGTGGTTGGGCCCATGTTATATTTTTATAGTAAACTTAGGTTTTTGGGCTTACACCCCTGGCTGGATCCTCAGATACCCAGGGTGCGCTCCTAGCCAAATATATGTTAAAGGCCACACCTTCATTATTGAATCGTATTTGTTGGAGTTTAACTGTCTATGTATTTTCATGGATTAGCATGACTCTTAAGATATCATTTGTACAGGTCAGGGGGGCTTTGGTCGTGTTGCATTATGCAAAAACAAGCTAGATGGGCGCCAATATGCTGTTAAAAAGATACGCCTGAAGGATAGAAGTCCTCAAGTGAATGAGAAGATTTTAAGGTTTGTCTATAGTCCAATCAAGTTCTTTTACTCAAAGCTTGTAGTTGCTTTATGCAGTTGTTGCATTCCTTTTATATTATTTGGAGATCATCTTGGCGAAAGCAATGTAAATATCACTTCTAGTTTCACCAGTCAAGCCTCCTCTTTTTTATATATATTATGCATTTTTACTTGTATTTTTATTTGGTTTGGGCCAATCAAGTCCCCTCTACACGTTGTATCCTCAGATCAACTATTGAAAGGGTTTCTACATGTGACTGCTAACATGTTTTAGAAACTTGTTTGATAATAGCATATATATTATAAACTATGAAGCCTCACTTGTTTCCTTTCTGTACTGCAAGTTTCTGAATCTGTGTATGCACTATTGCTATGTAAATTCATGTCACTTCCGCATTTTGTAATGATCAAATAAGGTGTTGGTTGACTAATGGGTATCTTTGTATTATTGTTATATAAACCAAGCATTGTGCCTTCCTATAGATCATACGAGCTGTTATAATCAATGAGGATCACAAATATAGTGCTTACTTCCAGGAGTGGTTTGGTGTGGTTTGGGGTGTGTACTTGGTTCCTTTTCTTCTTTAATGAAATGATACGCAGCTCTTCTGTGTATTTGAGAAAAAGTATCTAGTGCTTACTTGTTCTCGAACACGCTGTGTATGATATCATCAAAGAAGAAACAGATACAGTATTTAGTTGTCAGTAACTTATGTGGATGTGTTTCTTTTTTTAATTTTGCCTTTTCTTTTTAATGGGTTTGCTCTAGCACATCTGTTATACCTTTTTGATGGTTCTCATGAATGTTTTTGCAAGGTACTCAGAGAGGTAGCCACACTTTCAAGATTGCAACATCAACATGTTGTCCGCTATTACCAGGTGATATCTCCACTGATATGCTTGTTTGCTTCGAAAAAATAATCATTGTATTCACAATTTGTTTTGGCCAATTCTGACTCAACTGTCATTGAGATGCCAGGCATGGATTGAAACTGAATACGGTCATCATAATATTTTGAATGCTGGTGGGTCCCGCACTGCTGAGAGCTCTATCTTTAGTTACGATGAAGTCAGCCTATCGGATGCAGGTGGTGGGAATAATCAGGAATCCACATACTTGTACATTCAAATGGAGTATTGTCCTAGGTGCGTTTCATTTTGCAGTTGTGCACTAAGGAAATTTGTGCTGCTATTTCTTCACTATTTTTTTATTATGTGAGAAACTAGTCAAACTACTGATGTTTGAGCCGTATAAAATTTTGTTATAGTTAATCAAGGATACACTACACTTATACCATGAAAAATTTCACTCTTCTTGATACTATTAAGAATTCTCTTATTCCCCAAGCACTCAGGCAGTAATATGAGATATATAATGATTTCCCTCAATTTTCTTGGTTTTATGAACTCCATGATCCCTGTGTTTTAAAAAGAATTGGAGGGTGTAAGTTACTGCAGAGTTGAAATTGAATTTGTAATCTTGAAAGGTTCTTGAGGGCCTGGTAGTTTGACTTTTGGAACTTTAGACTTGTGATGATCTTTCTTTATGTATTTTCAGTCATTGAATGCCATTCTATTGTAGTGTATTGATTGTAGCTATTCTGTATCTAATTTCTTTTGGACTACTGTTTGAAGGACTTTGCGGCAGGATTTTGAGACATACATCTCATCTTTTGATGTTGACCATGCCTGGCACCTGTTTCGACAAATTGTGGAAGGTCTATCTCATGTCCATAGTCAAGGAATCCTACACAGAGACCTGACGCCCAGCAACATATTTTTTGATGTCCGCAATGATATTAAAATTGGGGATTTTGGTCTAGGTATGATGTCCAGAACTGTCATATATTTTCAATCTGGTTTCGTTTTTTATTATAATCTTTATCATCATGTACTACTCCATCATAGTGTCAGATACGATCCTATGAGCTAGTTTCCTCCCCTTTTGGGGTTGTGTGTGTGAGTTTTGCTTGTCTTCCAGTGAGAGTCCTTTTTGTTCTTTGCTATCTTTATATCTTGTCTTCTATGCACTTCTCCACTTGGATTTTTCCTTCTCAATATTGTGATGCACAGTTCTTGTATGCGTTTGAGAAAATAAGTTATATAGAATAAAATGTCATTGTCATTATTTTGTTGTTTCATGTGGTATTGGCAAATACTACTGTCAATGCATATTCCTGTTGAGTAATTACATACTCCCTCAGTACCAAAATGACTGCATATCTCATTTTTCGAGGAGTCACACTTTTTTAAGTTTGACTAGATTTATAGAATATATTATCAACATTTGTCTCTCCTAATATGTTCATTATGAAAATATATTCTACTATTAATCTAATGATACTTATTGTGCATCATAAATACCAGTATATTGTTGTATATATTTGGTCAAACTTATTCTTTTGACTTCTCAAAAAGCGAGATGTGCAATTATTTTGGGGACGGAGGAAGTACCTGTTCTTTGTGGCAAGTGTGATCATGTGAAGTTTATGTGACATCCGGCTCAGTTTGGATTTATCACATAGTGGCCCATGTGTATGTTGATGTGAAATTGGGGGGTGTAGTCCCACCTTGGTTATTGAGAGCGTCAGAGCGGGTTAGATCCACATGGCTTTTAGAGTTCATATCACCATCCTTGGGTTAACCTTTTTACGTGAAATGAGGACAAAAGTGTAAGTGGGTTGGTGCTAGTGGATCAGAGCCATTTGTGGTGTTACAAATGGTATTTGAGCTGACCTTCATGGACATGATCGTGTGCGAGAATGTTCCTAGTCATCGTTTGTCCGGTTGTGGGTATGTTGGGTTGACGATGACAGTTGAGCCTTTGAGAGGGTGTATGTGACATCTGGCCTAGTCTGGGTTTGGGCCTAGCTTGGGTTTGCCCCACAGTGGGTCCGTGTGTATGGTGATGTGAGATTGTGTGTGGGTGGTGGTGGTGTGTGTGGGTGTGTGTGGGTGGGGTGGGGGGGGGTGGGGGCGGGGTTAGTCCCACCTTGGGTTAACTCTTTTATGTGAAGCGAGGACAAAAGCGTAAGTGGGCCGGTGGTAGTGTATGGTTCCTCAGTGTTTGACTTTGTAATAATGGCTGCTTCCTCTTCTCCAAAATTAGTTGAAGAAAATCTCAGCCTAAAATATATTTTATCATTGTTGTCAGCCAAATTTCTGAAGCTGGAGCAGCTAGATCATGACCAATATCTTCCTACTGAAGCAATGGGTGTTTCAATGGATGGAACAGGTCAAGTTGGTACATATTTTTATACTGCACCAGAGGTAGAGCAGAAATGGCCGCAGATTAATGAAAAGGTCAGAACAAATTACTTGGATTTTTACTTAACAAATGATAAAAAAAACTTTGTGAAATGTTGTTGATCTCGCCTACTGCCTATGTTTTAGTATTTATTTTTCCTTTATCATTGCAGACAGTGTATTCTCTTATTCTCAAAATGAATGCTATTCTCTTATTCTCGAAATGAATGCAGAGCTCCTACCAATGGTTTAAAAATTTGGTGAAATATGACTTATTATTATTATTTTTTAAATGGCAACTAGGCAAACTCTAAAATTTGAAGCTTACCTTGCTCTTATTTACTTTAATTGTCAGGTTGACATGTACAGTTTGGGAGTTATATTTTTTGAGCTTTGGCATCCATTTGCCACAGCGATGGAAAGGCATCTTGTTCTTTCTGATCTTAAGCAGAAGGGAGATCCTCCATTGTCATGGGAGTCAAAATTTCCTCGTCAGGCAGTCCTGTTAAGAAGCTTGCTGTCACCAAGCCCGTCTAATCGTCCATCTGCTGTTGAGGTCTTGCAAAATGAACTGCCTCCTCGGATGGAAGATGAGTGGCTAAATGGTAAGCCATTAACTTTTGTGTACGACATCATTACTACCAAAAGAACAGATCATGACCTGATCGTTGATTGAGATTGATGACTGCTAAAAGAATTTGGATTGAGGAATTTGATATTTCTGCTTGTTTCACATGGCCTTCTACCTAAGGGGCCCACTTGTCTGCTCTGTTGTGCACCTCTGGCCTTTGTCGTTTGTGAGTTGATTGGCTGTTTATATGTAGACCGGTTGTCTGTGCTCTGTGCATGCGCCTGTGTGCGTACTTGTTTGTGTGTGCAGTGTATTTATGGAATGAATTGGTCCGTTTGCCTCCTTTTTTATATAGGATTTCAACCTAATCTCTGAAGGCTGTTTGTGTTTAACAGACACTGCAACTGTCTTTAAACTCATATTTGAAGTGCTGGTCTGCTGGAGCCATACTAGCCTTCTGTGTCTTGTGCATCTTTAAATTAGCCCTATAATTGAAGTGCCATTTTGATCTATTTGACTGATTTATATTACTACAATTGATACAGATGTACTTAGAATGATACAAACACCAGAAGACACATATGTTTATGACCGAGTTATATCTACAATATTTAATGAGGACAGGTTTGCTAAAATGCAAGGCCAACATGATAGCAGCAAAAAGTCCACTGTTAACATTGATAACAGTGAACTTTTGGATACCATCATTGAGGTTGCCAAGGAGGTTTTCAAACAGCATTGTGCTAAAAGGTTCCAGATCTCACCTTTGCATACTTTGGAATGGAATTTTACCAAAAATAGGTAAGTTATTTCCAGACTACTTAAATGTATGATGTTTTGTTTGGAGTAATAGTTGATGGATGTTTGATGATCTCATAAGATAGAAACTGACAAGTGATGCCAATTTTTTTTTGCCTAATGCTTTACTCTGAAATTTGGTCTTATTGCTATCATGTGTAGTCAGCTTGGCCTTACGGACCATTTCAGTAGTATGAGAGGCCCATTAGGGTTAGGGTTAGAAATAAGATTAGCCATCTTGCTTAGAAGTCAAGTGAGCCTCTCTATATATGGAGAGGAGATGTAACAATCAAATCAAATAAGAAGAATATCAATCTATTATCCCAGTCCCCTTCTTGCTTCTATCCTTCCCTTGTGGTGTGGCTGCCGCCTATCCGCTGGCTGTTGTTGTGCTGCATGGGTTAGAGCCATCCAGATTCGTGTTCATAACAATTGCCTACAATTTTCTAGGGGAAACACAGTGAAAATCTTAACTCAAGGAGGAGAGATGCTAGAACTTTGCTATGAACTGCGAACACCATTTGTTATGTCAATTGCTGCTAATCAGGTCTGTGACAAGTTGTCCTTTTTCTTTCCTCTTGTGTGAATGTTTATGCTTCTATTTTTGTTCCAATTTTTATTATGCATATGAGTTTTTAGACTAGTATATGGATCATTGCCTTTTTTCTTACAAAATAATTTAGTTGTTAAATTGTTATGTTTCATCTAACTCCATTTTTCTTTTAACTTGTCATTGTGGACATAGGTCATATTATCATAGATGCAGTCTGCATTATATGTTTAGATCATTGATTTTTTAATTATATGCACATTTTTTAGAATATATTAGCCAATTTTTTTAATGTGAATGTGCATGCTGTGTGATCGCATTTGCTAGTTCACCTTCTAAGGGGTTTAGTGATCCAGGAAAATATTCATTTGATCAAGGTCAGGTCAACCAGCCAGCTGTCTAGCCACTGTTTTGGGATTTTCTGGAATAACTTGACACCGTTTTCCTTTCTTTCTTGTCTCTCTCCCTACTTGCTCACAAATTCATCTACAGACATCATCATTCAAGCGTTATGAAATATCATGGGTTCATAGAAGAGCCGTTGGCCATTCAACTCCTTATCGTTTTCTTCAGGTAAATTCTTTATGAATTTCCATTGAAACTCGACAATTTTATACTTCAACCTCCATTTTCTACTCTTTTGCTCTCGAAATAATTGAAGAAGTCCTTCTGAAACATAATGTTGATATCCTGTTAGGGTGATTTCGACATTATTGGCGGTACTTCACCAATTCCAGAGGCTGAAATCATCAAGGTAGCATATCTCCACATGGCAGCCCATCTTGTACCTCCTCTCTGCAACTATATTCTTGCTATCATTTTGGTTATAGTTTGTCTTCCATTTTGTAATAAAATCGTTTGTAAAGAGACAATTATCTTGGAAGGTCCATTTTAATGTTAAAAATGTAGTTTTGTATTGTCATATAAATAACTCTGTATCCATGCAATGATAGGTGGCTTTGGACCTTGGGACCCGTTTTTATGATTCCAAGACACTAGTCATACGCCTGAATCACGGTAAACTTGCTGAAGCAATTTGCTCTTGGGCAGGGGTTTCTCAGGATCGAAGACAAAATGTCGCTGAGGTGTGATGTTCTGTCTTTACCTGTTTCTGAAACTTTTGCAATTTTTGTCTTCAGCTAGCTGAAATATTTCGTTTACTGTTTCAGTTTCTGTCTTCAACTCTTGTTCAATATTGGCCAAATGAGGCTGACCGCAAGTCACAATGGAGTTTGATTAGGGGGCAACTTTTACAGGTAAAAGAAGCATTATTCATATTGATACAGTACAATGCAATATCAAAGGAGTACTTTTGTAGCTGTTCTTTTCTCTCTTTTTTAAGAGCATCCTTGATAGCACTACAATATGGAAATTGCAATTAACACACTTGATGAGTGGTAAATGTGTTCTTTTGTGTTTCTCGTTAGATAAAGGTGCTTGCTTCTCCATTCCCAACCTGTCCTGTTTACCAATGGCCAACTAAAAGATTCGATTTGGACATGTAGAACTGTGCTTTTGGCATTTTAAATGCTTTTTCTTGGGAATCTTTTTTGTTTATATGAAAGTGGTTGTGCTAGATTATTATGCATATCAGCATATGAACATCATTTAGTGAAATTTAGAATTTCACTTAATAGTTGATGACATTGGCTGGTTTATCAAATGTTCCAGGATCTTCGGCTTTCTGAAGAAGTTGTTGAGAAGCTACATAAAGCAGATCAGCGGTTTTGTGGCTCTGCAGATCTAGTACTTGCTAGATTAAGAGGGACCCTGTTCTATGGTAGTGGTTCTTAATCTTTGTTTTATTAGCTGCTAAAGCTGGGAACATTTAATTGTTGCTACTGTGTGTTTCTTGTTGTAGATAAATCTGCTTGCAAGGCTCTTGATGATCTATCCTCGCTTCTAAGATGTTTGAGAGTATGGTCGGTAGAACAACCAATTACTACTATTGATGTACTCATGCCTCCCTCAGAATGTTACTATACAGATTTGTTTTTCCAGGTGAAATACTGTAACCTTACATCCCTAAATTGTTTTGGAACATTTTATAGAACACACTTGGGAGAGAACCCTATTTTGTTCCTCATTATGAAAGACCGTAGCATTCTAATGTCATATGTATTCCTTATCTTAGTTATTTGAGAATAAATATAGTTGGAAAAGAATAGAAAACAAAATATTGCAATTTGCAATGTTCTTTGCATTCACTAGGTTTTCCTAGTTCAGTCTTCAGTCATACGAAATAATGGGTGGTGTGTCAATATTTAGGAGATATTTTGCAATGTTCTTCACATTTTCTATGCTTTCCTTTTATGAGTGTTGATGCTTTGCTCCTTTGAAATTTATATATTTCTTGATATCGCACTGCAATTTATCCATCTCAACACAACACAGGTATACTCAAAAGAAGGTAATCATGGACCGAGTTTCCATGAAAAGTTGCTGGCAGTTGGTGGACGATATGATCAGTTGGTGGAACAAGCTTGGGATAAGGCATATGTAAGTTGTACTTGATGCCTCCTGTGTGTTAAAGGATATACCTTGAACCATTTATCTTAACAAATAACTACATATAGATGCCACAAATCTTAGTTTGTAATTGTATAATGACCTCTTTCAGACGCTGTATATTATCCCATACTTGTCCAAGGAAGATATATTGTTGTTGCTGCTGCTGCTGATTTGTCACAAAAATACCTTTCTCCTTTCATTTTGTGAAAAGAAAATATAGAGATATTGTCCATGATTTCGGTATTTTAATTGTATAACCTGTGCAGAAATCTAGACCCCCAGGTGCTGTTGGTGTGAGCATTGCACTTGAGAAATTTCTTCCTAACAATCCTTCATCTGATCTGGGGTTGCGAAGGTTACTGTCCAGGTGATCTGAATTACGAATCCCAATGTCACTGATTCTAAAAACTCCAATAATTTATGTGATCTATATTCTAAAAGAATAACTTATAAAATAATTTATGTGGCCTTCAGGATTGAACCTAGCATCAGTGTACTTGTCTGTTCAAGGGGTGGTGGCGGTCTGTTAACTGAACGCATGGAACTTGTTGCAGAGCTTTGGAAAGCTAACATAAAGGTGGTTCTATAAGGATCATGGGCAAAGATTAGTGTGGAGACTAAAGCTATTATGATCACTACTGATGGATTTACTATTTTCAGGCTCAGTTTGTTCCTCAGGAAGATCCAAGTCTTCAAGAACAGTATGAATATGCCAGTGATCATGATATTAAATGCCTTGCATTTATCACTGAATCAGGTCTGTCACAAACAGATCTTGTGAAGGTACATACATTAAAGCTGCCACTGTATTTCGTTTTTGCTGTTTCAACTAGTTTCCATGTATTAAAAAAATACATGGTAGGAAAGTACCTTGCTTTTATCCAACTACTATGCATTTTATTTACATGTGTGCTGTTTGTTTCTGCTGTATGAACTTTTAAAAGCATTTCATATCTGACTATATCTCAACTGTACTTTCTACCTGGCAAAACTTCTATAGTATGTTGAGCTTGTATGACCAATTTCAGCAGCACTGAATCCATCTGCTTGACTAGGATTAATGATAAAATTGCCAGTTCTATACTTGTATCACGTGTTCACAGGAACTCGGTTTGAGGCATCTGAAAAATGTTAACACTTCCATGTTTTTTGCTGTTATTCTAATATAAAAATGTGAGGCAGAAATTATCTTATGAAATAGTGAGACTCTCATAGATACATAAAAAGATGATCATTCGGAAATTGGAATGAAAGAAATCTGCTGTTTACTTATTGCTGTACAAACCTCCAATAAGTATTCTAAGTGTGGAGGAAGTTCTGATCGATTCTCCCTTTGTGGCATGCCTCAGGTTCGGCATCTTGATTTTAAAAAGGAGAAGGATGTTGAAAGAGAGGGACTAATAAAGTTCCTGTCTGATGCAATATGTTCACAATTCAAAAATCCTACGATCTGGAGCTGACCAACGGCCCACCCAAGTCCTTAGTCGATTTGTTTTCAGGTTCTAGCATGGCATAAAAAAATTGAAACTTTTTGTCTACATGGTTTGTGTAGAATCTTTATTTATCTGGTATTAATTTCCGTCATGTTATAAATCCACTCTTTTCAGAATGAGCCAGGTTTGTGGTTACCAGTGTCTTTCGAACTTCAAGGTGAAAGCAATGTTTGCTGTTCGAACATGTGAAGGCACACCACATTAGTACATTACAGTCATGCATGTTTGGCTGCTTCCGTGCATACGGTAAGGTGGTTGTTGGCTCTCTGCAGGTTGTTACCAAACGTTATGCCCTGTGGCCTTTACTGAAGATGGGTGCGGCCGCGCGGGTGATTGACCAATTGGTGTAATCCTGGACCTCCTGATTGTCCTCCTGAGGAATCAATGCCATGCAAGGTTGCTTCAGACACAAGGTGGCGGGTAGTTGGTGCAATTCTGCAGTTTTGGGGCTATTAGTATTATATGGATTGGAAGGTGCGCGGTTTTCTACAACGATCCTCCGGTTTTGCCATTTTTGCCTGTGTTCTCTTTTGCGTGCGTGTGATTTTTTTCCCCATATAGGAACACCTTGTACATAGTTCGTTTAGCAAGATCCATCATGTACAGGAAAAACATTACATTGTTGGGTTGCTGATAAGGAAATGCTCGAATTTGCAACTCCCTGAGCTAGGGCAAAACAAGGTGTGTTTTGTCATATATCATATTCGATTGGGCAATGTCGGCTGTGGCCAACTGGCCATACATTCCCCTTGTACGCAGCACGACGCGTGCTTACTGCTTGGACTCTGCGCGACAGGCATATCTGGGACTGGACTTCGCGGTGGTCTGATGATTGTAGCAACCCCGGTGTAAAAAGGCTGGTCGCACTGTTCCATTGTTATCCACTATCCACTTCAGTGTGAGCACTCGTCAAACTTCTCGACGCCTCGCTGTGTTAATTTAGGTAGGCCGCTGTCTCCGCGCTTGATTGAACAACCAGCATCACCAGAGCACAGCCAGTGGTCGCCTGCCTCCGAGAATTCTACACTGCTACTGCACGCTGCACATGCAACGACTCGGATGCGGGAATCGTGTACTGGCATCTCCTGTATTATGCTAATCCACGATGTCCAAGAGATTCTGGGCATGGGGGAGTAATCTACGAAGCCGTGAGGTCCATGCACGCCCACCCCAGCTCACGTCCAGCCGAGTGCCGCTGCCGCCCACTTCAATTTGAAGCCTCCACGATGGAATCCCAAAATGAGCTGCAATCCAGTGAAGCCCTCTCACCTGTCATCACTCTCCAGTCACCACCCGCCATCGCAGGAAGACCTGCCGCTACTCATCGGCCTGTCGGCACGTGCGGCCCGCACGGGGCCCCACGTGAGGTTGCGCGCGCACCTGTCGCGCGGGCGGCCGCCCATGCCCGATCCGACGGCGGACCGTGCTGGCAGCGATCGACGACCGAGATCCGCACCCGACGGTCCCGTGAGGCCGTGGCAGTTTGATAGTCAGACGACGCGCGACGCGCTTTCAGTTGACCTGTAGTTCTCATTGCAATTCCTCTCTCTCTCTCTCTCTCTTCACCATCGGCGCTTTAAGGCCGCGTTTAGTTCATCAGCCGATTCGGCGCCGCCCCGCAAAAAGACGGTCCTGTAGTGAGGTATTATTTTGTTTTGATTTGGTAATAATTGTCCAATCGTTAACGACGCGCGTTCGGCGCGCTTTCCAAGTTGACCTAGTTTTTCTCAACATTTAAATGACTCTAATACACGCATCTCTCTTCTCTCTCTTCTTCACCATCGGCGCTTTAACTTGGAAAATAGAGGGAACTAAACGTGGCCAAGACTGCAGACCAACTACCAGCAAGCTGCAAAAACGCGTCCCGCACGCTGCACGCATCATGATAGGGGGGCAGTGTTGGTGTATGTTTCTCACCTGTTTTGTCCTGTTCCTTCAGATCAGATAGAAAACGTAAATGATGTGCCAAGCCCAACTGCGGCTGCAGAAGCTCAGTTTTTCTTACCGTTTTTCATTTGGAGACGTGAGGAGATGATGAACAATTTAAATTAGCCTACAGGTGGGCTGATAGCTACAATACGAGTAGTGTATTTCAAGCTGAAATTGTTTCCACAAATTTGTTTTTAGTTGACATCGGGGAATCGAGGGGCTTAAGTGCTTGACATTTCCACTGCCCTTTTGATTCTCTGTATTAAACATGAACGTGGAGGCAAGTCTTTTAGTAGTAAAGAACAAAATTGTCGGTTGTGTTGTGTGATCAGGTTTTGCTTTGAAAAATTAAAGTCAGGTAGGGCAAATAGCTGTGTTTTTTTTCTTTATCTGGCACCCCCATGTATATGTTTGGTTCAGCGAGTTTCAACGTGGCATCAAGTATGAGGAAATATTCACAGCAAATTTGTACGCCTCTCAGAAAAACAAGTAGGAGCATTTGTTAAGGGATAAACACAAAAAAGGGGCAATGATACCATTTTCGTCAACAGATCAGATATATAGTAAGCATGGTGTTTCCTGAAGTTTTGTCTTCTAGATAGTCATAAAAATGGGGTCTGAGAAAAGGCATGTCACATGCCTTTTTCTCCAGAAATATGTATTAATTGACTTATTTGACATGACTATATGCTTTCGTAGCATAAAACACGATTCCGGCAAAGTACAACAGTACATGTACATCTATCATAAGTCAGACCGAAGGAGCGCAAACAGTTGAAGACTCAGTAACCCTTTCCGTCTGTTTCATTGTAGGTTTTCACATGAAACTTTTATCTTCCTCTTCGTCCTCTAAAGAACTGCAAAATGCAATACCCCTTACATCCCGGCGAATAAGAGTCAAACATGTCGTGTTTACACCGTCTTTTGTGGTATAATAGACTTCTACTTTTATTTATCACAAAGTCAACTCTTGATGTAGAAACAAAAAAAAAAGTTCCTGCTGCGTCGGCTCTTCTGACATACGGGTAAAGTCTAGTGATTCCTTTTTGTAAGAAAGACATTAAAGTGGAACAAGCTGAAATTGTGATATAAATACAACCATGGTCCATGGCCCATGGGAAAGAAAGCTTTGCTTGTAGTTGTAGCACACCACCGCCACAAGGCAAATACAGTGGCAAGCAAGCCCACACGGTGTCCATCCACCATGCTATCATCGTCCTCCCCTCTCGTTAAGCTGCCCCTCCTGCCGCGCGGCCTCCTCTCATACCTCCCCACATCCATCCTCCCGAGTGGCCGCGAGAGCACTGCCACGCCCACGCCCACGCCCACCGCCGACGCATCCTCCACGCCGCCGCCTTCTCCCAAGAGGATGTCGTCGTCGTCTGCACAGCAGCAGCAAGCGGGGAACGGGGGGAGCAGCAGCAAGAAGTCCGACTCGGCGGAGCTGGCGCGCGTGTTCGAGCTGTTCGACAAGAACGGCGACGGGCGCATCACGCGGGAGGAGCTTGAGGAGTCGCTGGGCAAGCTGGGCATGTCCGTGCCAGGCGACGAGCTGGCGTCCATGATCGCGCGCATCGACGCCAACGGCGACGGGTGCGTGGACGTGGAGGAGTTCGGGGTGCTCTACCGCACCATCATGGCCGGCGACAGCAGCGCCAACGGCAACGGCAACGGCGTCGCCGGCGCCGGGGAGGGGGAGGAAGCTGCAGGCGCGGAGGAGGACGAGGACATGAGGGAGGCGTTCCGGGTGTTCGACGCCAACGGCGACGGGTACATCACCGTGGACGAGCTCGGCGCGGTGCTGTCGTCGCTGGGCCTGAAGCAGGGCCGCACCGCGGAGGAGTGCCGGCGCATGATCGGCCACGTCGACCGCGACGGCGACGGCAGGGTCGACTTCCACGAGTTCCGCCAGATGATGCGCGCCGGCGGGCTCGCCACCACGCTCGGGTGACCGTGTCCGTCGTCCTTGCTGCACCTGGCTTGCTATGGAGCGCCGTGCACTGCATCTGCTGCATGCTTGATTCGTACTAGAACCTGTAGATATTGCTTGGTCTTGGAGTGGAGGGGAGCTCACGTAACCACGCTGTTCCATTCCATCTCCCTTCTTTTGTTGCTTTGTTCGTTAGACTTGATTGATGGGCTTGCTAATTAACTACTATTGTGTTGGTTGTTGCTCGTAAGAATTGCTCCGGGACAAGGTTAATTTCCCCTGTTTTATTCAGGGCTTTCTTCTATCATGGCAACTGCCAATCTGCAGACTGCGTGCATGGCTTATGACCATGAGCATGAGCAAGTACTATGAATTCTGAACATGTCGTCACAATCTTGCTGATACCTGTTAGCACGCTACTGCATTCAAGTAATACCCCTGTTCGCTTCTCTTATAATCCGTCTTTTTCAGCTTGTTTTCGGTCAGAGTATTTTTCTCTCACGACAAATCAGCCAGAACAGTATTTTGACTTGAGAAAAACGCCACTGTTCCATCCAAGAGCAGTTGACTTGTCCGATCATATCATCCATCCATTCTTCTTTCCTCTCAAGCAACACGCGCGCTTCTGCTTAGCTTGGCCGCTTAGGCTTGTGATGTGCACGATGCGTCACGACGAGCAACGGGTTTGGCCTCTCCAGTTTCAACGGAGCGGAACAGAGAGATATCGAATGAGCCCCCGGCATCCCGTTTCCCTCGAAAAAGCTTGGTTTGTCTCTGGGCCATACGGTGGAATCACTGGGATCCGAACCAGAAAGCGACGAGATCCCCTGACCGAAGAACCTGCCCATCCTGGTCCTGGGCTCCCGGCGCGCGGCAGCGTACCATCCACGCCAGTGCTCCGTGGCTGTGAATCTGCGATCCAGCGCGCACCCGCCGTCCGGTGCGGCTCCCGTCCATCCCCCACGGCCTCGCGGCGCGGCACGGTCGACACCAAGCACCCACACGGCCACACCACGGGGACCGCAAGCCGGCCGTGCGAAACTAAGACTAGCCACGGCGTCACCGATGCTGAAAAACCATCCCAGCATGCCACCTCGTATCGATGCCCTAAACCATACATGACCATAGTGTCAACATCTATGCTTCATTGTAGGTGGGATAAGTTTCAGAACCCTCTCCTTCCTTCCGAAGTCCTTCTCACACTAGACCTTTTCCTCGCCGTCGACACCGATGCTCTAGTAAAATCCACCCTAATCGATCTCTCCATCTACAAATCAAGGCCCTCCTTCTCCTCCAAATCTTGAGTCCATACTGCTCCTAGGTGGATCTACTTGAAATCGACCCCTGGAATAACCACTTCGCACATACGTAGAAGGATAAACATTGGAGACTTCTTCTTCTCCTCTATGCCACGCCGTGGAGGCCGTGGTCACCTGCGCTACGCCGAGCCGCGGAGCCCGCCGTCACCCGCGCCTATACGCCGTGACGCGGGGCTGTCGTCGCGCCACGCCTATAGGTTGCGTGCCTACGCCGAGCCACGGAGGCCGCCGTCGACGCAGTGCCGTGGGCTGCAGGCCCGCCGCGCCTGTACGCAGCCGTGGAGGCCATCGTCGCCTGTACGCAGGGTTCGCCCAGCTCCCGACTACGTAGCACGGCTGAATGGTGTTGGTGGATAGGTGAATAAGGTGAGTGCTCACTGCTCACTGCTCAGCGGGCGGAGGACAAACAGCTGGCTGAAAAAATATTTTTTTACTCTTTCGAAGGAACATGTCTCGGGTGGATAAAATTTGAACTCGGCATCCATAGCCGCAGTGGTCGGCACCGATGCTCCATCGCTCTCTCTCTCCTCTTTCAGCGTTGCAGAAAACAAATGTTGTGGGTAGTCTAACCAACCGCGCGCGGGGACGTGCCAATGCCATGTGAGCACCGCGCCCCCGCCCACGTGCCCACGCCACGGCCCGCGCGACGCGATGCATGTCTCCAGCGCGCGCCGGCCGCGCGGCTCGCTCGACCTTCGCCACCAGGCTGAGCGTTGGGACGGCCCGGGGCCGTGCGGCCAGCGTCGGAGGGCGGCGGGTCCGGCTGAATAAAGACAAGAATTGCGTAACTTTGTGCTCGGTCGGTCTGGCTTGCTGGATCATGGAGACGTGACAGCACTTGACTTGGTCGCCGGATGCCCGAGCGAGCCGAACCGTTTGAACTAGGGCGCCGCGCGTCAACCTTCTGATGGAGCGGCGGCGGCCGCCGACGCCGGGCATGCTGGTGCAGAATCCGTCTCCTGGTTGACCACCGTCCGGTCTCTTTGTTACCGTTGAGGTTTTGGAAATAGACTATCATGAAAAGTGGGTTTTGGTAATATGCCATTCTACAATAGGGTTTCGCTAGCTTACCATTATGAAACGCGATTCACCCGCTAGAATGCTATCCGATGCCTTTGTGGTCCTTTTATTCCTCTTCTGCCCATGCCCCTTATCTTTTTCTTTGACCGAGCAACCGCTGGGACGGAACGGACGCACGCAAAATGGATCGAGCGTGGGCGCGCTCGTTCTTCTCCAACGCCGAGTGAGCGGAAGGTCGCACGCACGGCGAGCCCCCACGGCCAGCTCCCCCACGCCCGCTCGCCTCCCCACGCCACGGCCGCAATGTACCTCTTCTTATCTGTTTTAACTAAGTGAAATTCAAACTCATCATTTATTGCAAATTGTTTCATGGTGAGTCTAAACTCCTTCGTGTTTGGATACACGGTGCCAATATCCATACAAGGCTTGTTAGGACCATAAGCATAGAGTCTTTCTCCTAGTACATGATCATCAACAGGAATTGCAGCACCAGTTGTGTCAATATCAATGTCAGCAGTTCTATTTTTTAGCTGTGCCGTCCCTCTCAGCAGCAGCCTCAGCCTCAGCCTCACCAGGCCTATCATGCTGATCATCATTAGTTCTCAAACCCAGAAGACAGAACAACTGATCTCCATCAATTATATCTAGCGCACCCTCACCCTCTTCATCAATTGTATCAACAATCTGCAGTATGTCCCAATCAACATCTTCATAACACTCTATAGCCTGTGAACTGCCAAGGACATCACATGCTTCCTGTTCTACAGGCTTATTATTGCTACCAATATCTCCAATTTATTTTCCAATTTCTTCTACTGCATCTACACTAACGTCAGGCTCCTCATCGAGCCTGGAGAAATTGGGGGAAAATTATAGTGTTAGAAACCTATTGGACAAGGTCATTGTATTGGCTTCTTAAACTCAGTTAGATGAATACAAACACTGAAATAAAGAGGAATCATACCGAATGAGGTCACTCCATCTGCAGTCCATTGGTGAAGGTAACTGCATCGACGCTTGAAGAAGAAGAAGCAGCAGCCTGGAACAGAAGAGTGAGTGCGGGGAGGGGCGGCACCGTGGGGAGCTGACGGGGGGAGGGGTGCGTGGGGGCTGCTCGCGTCGGAGTTGGACAGGAGCACCGCACCCCGCTCGATCCGTTCTCCGACTACCTCCGTTCCGTCCCATGCACGAGGCCAGTGAAAGAAAAGATAAGAGGCAGGAGCAGAAGAGGAATAAAAGAAGCCCAAAGACATCGGATGTCATTCTAACGGGTGGGTCGCGTTTCATAATGACAAGATAACGAAGCCCCCTTACAAAATGACATATCACCAAAACCCACCTCCATGATGGTCTATTTCGTTACCGTTGGACGGGTCTGCGACGCGAGAGCTTTCTGTGACGCGACGAACCCATCTTTCCAGCCGGCTCTGGTACTACCCGATTGGTCAGCGCCGCGAGTCTCCTCCGAGTCAGGGCTCGTTGACAAGGACGCTTACATTGACTCCACTTTCATGAATCATGAGAACATTTCAGGTGTATGACCACGAGAAGGTTTCCACTCCCTGGTTTACCGGTTCAACGGTCAGGCTTCAATCAGTGCCTTCCCAAAAGTCTTGGGTGGTCTGGGGCTGCGCATCATTTTGCTTGTCCATCTATCAACATCAAGGCATTAGCAGGTGCATGAGAGCAAGTATAATAACATGAGCCTAAATGCTCAGATGAAGGAGAGATGAGAGAGGAGACGAGAAGCGGGCTAGAAATTTACAACCGGCTTAGACATAAGAATCAAACAACTCCGTAAAAGAGATAAGTGGGTCATGTATTAGTAATAAAGAGGTAACTATTATGGGTCGGCTAAGAGGTAGGCTCCAAAGATCATTACAGCCAGCAGCGTTGCAACGCACGGGTATATTTGCTAGTGGTAATAAAGCTACAAAATAGCGGCCAACTTACCACCTTGCGTAAAAGGATTATCCACAATCGTAAATGTCTCTGTTATAGCCATACCTTAATTTCTCCTTCCTTGTATAAATAGCCCTTAACCCTATTTTATTTCTCTGTCCTCCCAAATTTAATGGAAAGCGGCGGCGGCGCCTCCCCTTCACCCGATGGCGGTCTCTCTCTTCAACCTCGGTGGCGACACGGCCTCCACTGTTCTTTGGTTGGCGGATCTCGCGGATCCAGGCGGTCGCACTCCCCTCCTGCGGCTCCCCCTTCGGGCAGCTCCAACAATTGACTCATGAGCTAGCTCTAAATATTTTTTTTTCATATTTTAATAAAAGAGAGAGAAAAGGTAGCTTTTAATTATATGAGGGTATCATGTGAGACTATTTATATTATGGTATATACTCAAAATTAGCACTATCGAAGAGGTGTACTTCAGTTTCCGTGGATCGGCGACCTCTACTACGCACAAATATAGATCCAGTTAGTTTTCTTTCTTTTCTGTTTTCCTTTTTTATGAAAAATGTTTTGTTTATTTATTTTTTGAAATTTCCTTTATATATGTTGTTTGTTCATAATCAAGGTCATCGGTTGAGGTCGGCTTTGTGTCACTACTTGATGTTCCATCCATTGAATCAAGTAGCTGTGCTCCCAAGCTTCTTGGACAGATTTCGAGTTGGAGGTCGACCACCTCAGCAAAGACACGAATGAGAGGAAGCTTTGTTTTGAGCCGTGGAATGTCATTTAGAGTTGAAAGACAGGTGTTTTGTTATGCACATCGCTTTGTTTTGTCATTCAAGTAGCCTCAACAAGTTTCAAGTTGGAGGCTGACCACCACAGGAAAGACACGAATGAGAGGAAGCTTTGTTTCGAGTCGTAGAATGACTTTCAGAGTTGAAATACAAGGGTTTTGTTATTTGTATGTTGATGAAAGGTACATGTTGCTTGAGGTGTGGTTGTAACTGTTCAACTATTTGATGATGTAACTGTGTTTATTATCACAGTGTAAGTTCTCATTGTACTTTATAGGAGAAAATCAGTAAGCAATTTTTTTTGTATATGTGAATGCATAGTGTTTTTTTGTTTGACATGGGTCCATATATAGGGTGTAAACTTGCCCAGCCGGCTTCTTTCGTCGCAAAAGAAAAAAAAGAGAGAAAAAAACAAACTTGTCCTGCCGGCCTAGTCCTCCTTAACACCCCCCCCCAACTCCAGACTTCCGCTGCGTTCAAACGCCATCGCGAGTCTTGCCACTGTATGACGGGAGCTGACGCCGATTAGCGCCGAGATCTGACCTAATCGGCCGCCGCCGGGAGAAGCGGAGATAGATAGAATGGTTGGAGCAGATAGTTATTCAATCAACAGTAAGCACCCCCCAACCCAACTATCTTCTCTTATTACCATTTGTTTTGATTTGTTTTGTTGCAGAAGGAGCAGTCGACCGACACGGGATCCATGAGATTCGAGGGCCTCTTATGGTGGGCGGGGTAGGTTTCCTTACCCCATCGACTGCCCTATTTCGTGACGTCACTGTGCGCTGGGTGCTCTCCTCCAACCAACGCTTTGAAGCATACATGCAATTCTGAGAGCAAGCTTTCAAACTCTTTGCAACCGAACTGGTTTCTGCGTCCAAATACCCTGTATGCTTTTCTCGAATTGCTAATAGCGAATCAACCCCACCCCGACTCCGATCTCATGATTTGTTATCTTGTGGGTACATTCTGTCATTTCGGTGCAGGCTGATCTGGTCACATTCACCCATCAGGATGGAGAGAGATTTCGAAACGATTACTGGTTTAATCACATACTGTTTCATGATGACAGTCATGTAAGTTTCCACTATTTCTCTCACTCATTTCTTGTACCTTTTAACTTCAAGCGCATGTCTTGGTATACACGGATTTACTAGTTCTACCCCCTGTGCTATGATGCTGTATGATTATAGCTTCCAAAAGTTATTTGAAATTATCATAGTTATTTGCAAGTTCCAAAGGAAAAGGTAACTTTGTTAATTTCCTGTGTTATCACAATGAGTCCAACCAGCATAAGTGTTTAATCTATTATAGCCCAAATGCCCAAAATCGATGTTTGCAGTCCAGAATTCATGTGCTACCATATCCATATGACATTGCTATGGACCAATTGAGAGTACATCGTATTTAAGCTCTGCCTCGAATGTTTAATACGATTTGGTCTATTTTAGTTGCTAACCATAAAGTTCTTGGTTTCTTATACTCATACAAAGTATACCATACGCCATTTGGTCTGTTTTATTTGTAAATCATATAATTCTTGGTTTGTTGTTAAAGACCAGATCACTTTTCGAGAAAAAAAAAATGCAGCAGTCCAAACTCGTTATTATAATGATGTGAAGCTATGCGAGTGGATGTCCATCATTTTGTTATCGCTTTTGTAATGTGAAAAATAATTAATTATGTGGCTGTGAAGCGTGAAGTCATGGCCAGTTAACTCCAGTTACAATACCAGTTGGTAACTGTATGACTTATAGAATGTTTCAGGTCGTGGTATTCTAAGCCTTAGTCAGCCAGTCACATTCACGCGGGACATTTTGCCCAAGGTTACAAAATGTGCTGGACATTCTCTAGGCGGTGACCCTCTGCCTAGAGCTTCCTTGTTCCCTAGGAGTTTTCTAGGCGTTCCATATCATGCTTATTTACCTCTATCTAAAAGTCTAAAAGAACGGAAGAAACAGGAGACCAGTGGGCTAAGAGTTGTATAGAAGGCCCATGAAAGTCTGAACAGCAAGTCTTATCCCTAACCTCCCCTTCCACCTTATCCATTCGCTGCACCTAGCTCGGCTGCACAACTCGCAGCAAGTCACAACTGGCTGCGCCGCCACCAACTTCCATCCCCGTCTCTACCAGCTTGACGTCCATGCCTCCCCCACCGCTGCCTGCCCTCATCTCCTCCGCCCCCAGTCCATGCCTCCGCGCCGCACGCCGCCCCCGTCCCTACCTCCTCCACGCCGCTCGTCGCCCCCAGTCCCTGTCTTGTCCGCGCAGCCCGCTGTCCTCGCTTCTCCGTCGGCGTGCAACGTCCCTGCCTCCTCTGCCACTCTGCCTGAAGTCCCTGCCTGGGTGGATCTGCACGTAGCGGTCACCGAGGATGGCCTGTCTAGCCGTCAACGCATGGGCGCCGCCTAGAGTATCGCCTAACCCCTAGGCTCCACAGTACCCCCATCGCCAGCACATAAGAGCGCCTAGGTGAGCGCGGAATAGGGCCTTTTGGAACACTGCTGCCCGGTGATGGCCAGCCGTCTCTTCCTGCTCCGGCGGCACACAAGTCTGTGGCAGCGACAGGCACCACTGTCTCGCTCCATTCTCCCATCGTCTTACGGTGGGAACTTGGCGCCTTCCCATGGGACGCTGGAGCTGCTCACGCATCTGCCCAGCTCACCATCGTAAGAGTCAGACAAACCCCGTCGATCCTCCTGCCCTGATTATTACTTTATTAAGTGGTCGATGCAAATTTAGTGATCTGATGATGAAGATGTTACTGTATCCAGACTTTGCTTTCGATTGCTTCTGTAGTTCTGCGCCGTTGGTCTGCGATGAAATTATGAGCCTCCCCAGGGCATAGTTGCATCAAGTGTTTGTTGAAATGCCAGAGAGGGGAACCTTCGAACACAGTTTATTGCTTTCAGCCACGTTTTTACATTTGTTGTCTATAATTTATCTCTTCTGTGCACACCCATACCGATTAGCACATTCTGATCCTCAACCGTGGACCAGTTCACTATTGAAGCAATTCCACAATTATGCGGTTTTCTTGTTTTGCATGTTCTGATTCTGTTCTAGTTATATTTTCCACAAGGTTTTCAACCGAGATGCTGGGTTCTTCAGTTGGTTGCAAAGTTGTAACATTCGAGCCTACCATTGTATCCATACAAGTCGATCAGTCAATAGTGGAAATCAGGCTACTGCGGAGCCTCAACAAAATCCAGGAGTGTCTGTACCAGTTGATGATTCTGGTGAACCAAAACCCAAGAGGAATTGAAAGGAAGGAGGGCAGTAACAAGATTTTTGAAATCCTTGAGATGGAAAAAGAAAAAGGAGATTCAAAGAATGACTGCGGATGAGAAGATTTTGTACAAACTGAAGCTAGTAAGTTGCGTTGCCATTCCCTCCATACCTATAACTTTTTTGATTTGATAGCAGTGATTCTTCAAAATAAATAATTGAAGTTTGCTTATATTATGTGAGGTAGCTTGATGTCCAATGTTCCTATTTCATCCTTTGGCATTTGTTGAACCTTTCACTCTAGCAAGAAACTACTTCTTATCTCCTATAATTCATAATCACTCTATCCTGAATGTATTCTATGTTTTCATGGATTTTCCATAAAGGCTCGAAAGAAGGAAGAGCAGCTTGTTGCAGCACTGAAAAAAATTGAACCAGAAGATCCATCAGAACCTACACATGATCCCGAGGTGCTTACACCTGAAGAGCACTTCTATTTCCTCAAGATGGGCCAAAAATGTAAAAACTATGTGCCTGTTGGAAGACGTGGAATTTACCAGGGAGTGATCTTGAACATGCACTTGCATTGGAAAAAGCATCAAACTCTCCAGGTAATTGTGAAAACATTCACACCAGAGGAGGTCAAGGAAATTGCCACTGAGTTAGCCAGACTAAGTGGTGGGATTGTGCTTGACATTCAAGATGGGAACACAATTATTATGTACAGAGGGAAAAACTATGCACAGCCACCACCAGAAATCATGTCTCCAAAAGTTTCACTCTCTAGGAAAAAGGTACGTCTTGTGGCATCATAGTGCAAGGAAAAACATATCTACATCTTTACCATGGGATGTATGTTATAGTTGGGTAGAAAACATTAGAACACTAGTAATAGGACAGTTCCATGAAGTTCAAGCAATATGAGCCACGGTAAGGCTTCCTAAATTTGTTGATTTGTTTCAACAAGTCATCTATCAATGTCACTGTATTACAGAATTGGAAACATATCCAGCCAATTTTATCTAGGTAGAGGCAAGGGTGTTTTGAGGTGTAAATTAATGATATACTAAAGCATAGACAAATAGTTGTCCTTTTTTCTCTAAAAGTTGTTCTTTTGTTCATCATATTTATTGTTTTGGAATTTTCAATTAGGCACTGGATAAATCCAAATATATGGAAAAGCTCAGAGCTCTTAGGCGGTACATTCCTAGGCTTGAGCAGGAGCTTGAAGATCTTTATGCGCAGATGAAGTTAGCTGGAGAGCATAAAGGACAAAGTGTAGGGAAACATGTTGCTTCAATTTCACACAATACAAACAGTATGCCAGCGAGAAAAGAACCTTGTAGTTCAGTTCACAGCAAAACCGTATCTGATCTCCTGTCGGGAAGTGTAGAGGGATCCGAAAGTTCTGAGGTTGAGGACGACTCAGCTTCAGAGTCTTTGTTATTTTCAGAGTCTGAGGATCTCTCTGACATTTTTGAGACAGAATCAGAGGAGCAGGAAGAGGACAACAAGGATCGCCCCTTGTATCTCGATAGGCTGGATAAGTTTCCCTCAGAAAAAAATGATAATGAACCAGATGATTTCGAGGCGCATCTATGGAAGATCGCTTCACTTTCAGATAAGACTGATTCACCTTCAAAAGAACTGAAAAGTGTCAGAGCTTGATGAGATTGATAAAATCTTTCTGAGAGCTAGTTCATTGTTGAAGAAAAGGTGAAAAAATTGGGATTTGTGTATGACGATCTTCATATTTATGTACACCGCAAAAAGTACATTGTGCAGAAAGAATTTACGATCGTCCAGTGATAGGACCAACCCCCACTATTGTTTTACAGTGATCATAATATAACTGGAATTCAGTGGGGTCATTTGAATTCGATGACTGATAGCTTTGATGTTATAGAGCAGATTCTTATGGTTTCATGCTTTTGTTGAAATTCCTGGTGTTAGCTGTAGCCCTCCTTTGTAAGTGCTAATTTTTGTAAAGCCTTCAAGATATTGCGAGTATCCACTCATACAAAACTGGTATTGCTTCATTTGGTTCTCTTATTGGCCCCGTTCGCTTGTCTGAAAAAAAGAAGTCAAAACACTGGAGCGGCTGGTTTTGTGAGAGAGAAATACTGTAGCGGCTGAAAGATGCACTGTAGCACGTGAGGGGAACAAGCCGAACCAGCCGGCTGGTCTAAATCCAAATATATTTCTTTTACTGGAGCTAGATTGTGCGTAGTGCCGGTTGATCTCCCTGTATTGTTAGCATAATATTTCAGGTTTTACCAGAAATTAGCTAATTTGTAATGATGTCTTGTGATTGTGAAATAAACTGCGCACAGACTGTAAAAGAATAAATTAAATGTTCAGAATAAATTTTTGAGTTGCAGTCTCTTCGCATTGCACAGACGAGGGTAAAGCTTACCACTGACACTCTTTTCTAGACCCCGCACAGATCGAGAGCTCTCTGCACTGGGTACGACCTTTCAGATCTTTGGTGCTTTCAAATGATCTCGGTACACTGCATTTTTATTCCATTGGCAAACCTGTCTCTGTTAATCAACTTGTTAGTCAACTCGACCGTGTTCAGGCGACACAAATGTTTAGCTGATGCAAGCACGATATCACTGGTAAACATATGATAGAATGGTACGCCAGCTGAAGAACATTTGCACCAAGTGAATTCATCTCATACATCTAACGATGGCAATGGGGAATTCCCCGTCGGTATTGACCCACCATCCCCGTCCCTGCAGGGGGAAAATTTCCCCGTCCCCGTCCCCGCGAAGACCATCGGGGGACATTTGTTTCCCATCCCCGTTCCCCGCGGAGAATTAGCCCCCGACGGGGATCCCCGTACCCGACGCTCAACAAGATGAAAGCAATAGCACAATAAGCATTAAACAGTTCAACACATAATATGATAAACTCTAAATTGATAAGGCATCTAATAAATTATGATAGATGAATATATATGACTATATGAGCACATCAGCACATGACTAACACAGGATTATCAATTGCCATCCAAAGTTCATACACACATCATAATCATAGCATACAGTCATACGCCCATACACTGATACAATACAGTCACATTCTCAGTTTCTCAGTCATAGACTCATAGTCTCCCAGATCATGGCATCCAGCCATCCAAGTCCAAGTGCACTGGCACTGGCACAGGCACATTGGCATAGGATACAAACACTAAATAACTAAAAGAAGTGAGAACTGAGAACACAAAGTAACACTGAGCAGTCCTCCAGAGAACAACAGTCCAAGACTTCACATATTCATAGAAGCGCAAGTCCCTACATGCAACGAGTAGCAATGAATATACAAATACATATTGGCCAATTATTTCATAGAGTAACAATGCATGCCAATTATCATTTTTTTGCATTTAATACCTCGATCTCATCTTGGATTTCTTGAAGACAACTCCAAAAGCTTGCTGGTTCTCCCTTATCATCACCTACAGAAAATAATTACAAAGGTCATGTAACAATGACAGTAGGAAATGTATTAATAACTATCTATGAATGGTATAGCACGTATACCTCGACATTTGTTTGGCAACTAGTCTTGTGAACACGTTAAGGCATCCAAGAGATCTGGAGTGAGGCGGTTGCGGTGCTCACTAACAACTCTTCCACTAGTGCTAAATGTTGATTCAGATGCAACTGTGCTAACTGGAATAACATATATATATATATCCCTTGCTACCTTCCTCAATACATGATAACGTGTCCCAGCTACCTTCCACCAATCAAGAATCTGAAAGTTTTCTGTTTGGATAGGGACCAACTCATCCTCAAGTACCTATCTAGCTCAGATTTGAACCTAACTGATGCAGGCCTTCTACTAGCAACACGTGCACTGATTGAAGACAGCACACCTGAATTTGCAAGTGCAGGGGCTGATGATTCTGTGTTATCTTCATCATCGTCCATTTCATACTCTTTCATCAAATTATAAAGAGTGTTTGTAACATCACTAACTCTCTCTGCACACTCCGCACTTGAATCACCAGTAAGTGTCTCAATAAACCCAAGGAGGTAGTCAGTCTTAAACCGAGGATCAAGAATGGTGGCCAATCCCATAGGTCCTTGAATTTCCTTCCAGTACTTGTCAAACTTCTGAATCATCTCTAGTAACATGTCTTGTATAATATAATTCCCACATGCAGCCCATTGCTTCATTTGCTCTTTAGCCTCACAAATTTTAAGAAGTTGAGCATTGGTTGTCACATAATTTATTCTAGAAAATACTTTAGTTATGTCATTAAACAATTTCAGCCTATCAACTACCTCTCTAGTAAAAGTCCATTCTTCCTCACTAGGAGCACAATCAAAAAGCTTCTCAACACATGTTGCACGGTTAAAAACTATCTTGAGAGGTAGAGCAATGCTAAGCATCTTGTAGGTAGAATTCCACTTAGTTCTGCAATTAAGGCCTAACTTGTGATCAATTTTAACTTTGACATGCTTAGCAATTTCCTCAAATTTCTCTACTCTTTTAGGTGTGGCTGTCCAAAAGGCAACACTGTCACATATTTTTGCTATTGAACTCTTTATAACTTCTAGACCATCCTTCACAATCAAGTTGAGAATGTGGGCAGCACAACGCATATGCAACAATTTCCCTTCTAACATCAGTTTTGGCTTTCCTATCTTCTTGATAAGCTCAGGAATTATCTTATCATTCGTGGAACAATTATCAAGTGTCATAATTGAGATCTTTTCATCAATATTCCATTCCATCAATGCTTCATAGAGCTCTTCACTAATAACTTCCGCTGTGTGAGGTGCATGCACATAAATGAACCTACAAATATATAAAGGCAGCAAGACCTGATTTCATTTCCTAAATAAAATTGACGGCAGTAAGAACTGATTTCATTTGTACCACAAGTACCTCATTATAATGTTTCTAAGTAGCCATGAATCATCAATAAAATGGGCTGTAACAGCCATGTACCCCCTTTTTTTGGTTCTCACAAGCCCACAAGTCTGTAGTTATGGCCACTCTTGACTTAGTAGCAGCCATGTAGTCCAAGGCCTTCTTCTTTTCTTCAGCATATGCATCCATAATATCTTTCCTAAAAGTCAGAAAAAATGCGAATAAGAAAACTGAAGTATAATTGCATACATGCATAATAAGATAACTGAAGCACTGAACCAACCTAAAATATTCCCTAATAGTGTTCCGAGTCACCATATTGAATAATGGCTGAAGTGCACTCACAAACCTTCTAAAGCCAGCATGGTCAACAATAGATAAATGGCACTCATGCAGTACAATCATGGTAGCAAGCTCTCTTCTAGCAACTTCAGGATCAAATGTATAATTTTCTACAGATATTGCCCCCCTCCTGGGAACTGAACCTCAAGGCAGATTGAGCAAGTGTTTTGTTCTGACTATTCAACTTGATCTTCCTCAACGTGCATATCCTCAAATGGTCATGGAGATATTTAGTCCTATTCCTGCTGCTCCCTCCAAGCTGCTTGTGACAATGCTTGCATTGTCCTTGACATCACCAGATACTTTCACTATCTTGAAATCATTCCAAACAACAGATCTTACCTTTCTCTTTATGCCAAAATCCTGATCCTCAGTCTCATCATCATCTTCAATCTGTATTGGCTCAGTATCATTAACAGACTCAGCTTGTGGGGGGAGTTGTTCTGATTCTTGTTGGTTGCTGCTTCCACTACCCAGAGTTGATCTCATAGTGAATCTAAATATAAAACCACAAAATGATCAGGTTCAGCGTACATAAATCACATGATGAATGTAAAATCTACAACAATTTAATTATGTACTCTTGTAGAAATTTAATTATAAAACCACATATGTATAGGTTCAGCATACATACATAAATCAAAACCCCACATATAAGCATATGGAACGAGCAACATGCAGCAATGTAATATAAAAATTAGGAACACACTTTCTCAAGGCTGCAGCAATTTAATTATAAAAGATACATGAATTGCAATCATTCATAAAAGTATAAAACATCGATCGTACACAGTTACACATGCTAAATTGTTAGAACAGATAAAATACATAAAAGGGGTGGCGTGCTTGAAATCAAACCCCAGAGATTTTAATAGATGAGTGCCGCCACCGGAGGATGAAGCTTCTGGAGTTGTCGGAGCAGACGGAGCTCCTTCGACTGCAAGATGACTTTTTGTCTTTGTAGCCATTCTTTTCACAAGAGGCTGTAAGATCTGCCAGCGGGCCTTTGCTTTAGAGCCGGAGGAAACTCCGGTACCAGAGGTGATGACGGGCGCAACACTTGGCACAGCGGACAGATGCATCAAGCACAACAGCAGGCATAGCGGCTACAACGCTCGTTGCGGGTGATAGAAGCCTAACAGGCTGAGATGTTATACATTAAAGAGCTGTGTTACAAGAGGGTTACATATATAGCCTAGGATACAGAGGTGCCCAAGGGGCCAGACCCGAAGGGGCCAGTTTAGACTAGAGTGATAGATTACAGAGGAGCCCAAAGGGCCAAGCCAGCCTGGAGGAGGTGGCGCATTCATAAGTAGAGTAGAAGCATTCGCATAGAAACTAGATATTCTAACACCCCCCCTGCAGTTGGAACGTCGCTAGGACGAACGTTAAGACTGGAGCGAAACTCTAGGAAAATAGAGGAAGGGAGCCCC